GAGGAGGTTGCCCTCCCGTGTCGGTCAGGACCTCCCGGGGCAGAGGAACCTGTCCCCGAGCCCTGCCCCCGCGAAGCCGACACTGTCCCCGGGGAGCGGCGGCCCTGTTAGGGATGAGGAGCCCCAGGGAGCCCGGGCGCGGAAAATGCAGGTTGCGCCTTTATCTTCAATTGCTCTGCACGGTCACGGGCATCGAAAAATTACCGAAAGCTTCCCCTCGATGTGGCCCTCCACATCCGCATCCCAGAGCCCAAACTTTTCTGTATCCCGTTGCTTCCCCCAGCCCCTCACCCCCGCAAGGGTCCTTCTTAGTCGCTGATGCTCGTCCGAGGTACGTATCATCCCTCGCAATCTTACTTATCGCTAAATCATACATATTACTTTCGCAGCCTGTTAGTAAAGAAGGTTAAATTAATTTACATTCTGCTCATTATCTGGTGTTTAAATGACGTGTTTTTATCCCTGAGATTTGGCAAAGAATCTCTTTCCTCAGACCCCACAGCGTTTCGACGGAGACAATGCTCTTACATTTGTAGTGGATTTTAATCTGATAAGACTCTAATTTGCTTAAGTCTTTTAAATAGGGGGTTTAAAATGATTCTAGCCGTTTTCTTATTGAATTTCCTCTAATTCCCCCAAGATCATAAAGTATATGTGTAAAGTAAATATTTCCTCCCTTTGCACCGGTAGCAGATGACCTATAACTAAGTCAATATGAATCCAGCTCCATTCTGCACAATTTGTTTACCAATCATATCCCCGTTTCTTCTTAACCTCTCTCTACCTCCGTGGTCCTGCACCCAGAAATCCTTCCCCCCCCTCCCCCTCCCAGCCTTTCCCTCCGACGGGACCGCGCAAAGGCCGCGGGCGCGGAGCTGCCTCGGCCCCTCTCCAGCCCCTACGTCGGGGTTGTTTATACCCAGCCTGCAAATCCCTGGGGAGGGGGAGCAGCAGGGAGAGGGGTTAACGGCGACTTCCCCCATTTATTTTTTTTTCAACAGGGTAATGCAGCCCTCTCGCAGATAAGCCCTTTCCCCCCTTTCCTTTTCTTTTTGTTCTTTTTATATTTTTTCCCCCACATTCATTTTTTTTTAGTTATTTTGCAGAAATTCTGTCTTCTTCTGCCGCCACTCGAAACGAAAAGTCCCTCCCGGCTGCGTGTTGCAGCGCGCTTTTTACGCGCTTTATGCGCCGACAGGGCGCGGCGCCGGTGCCCACCGGTGCCCACCCCACCGTGGCCTTCTCTGTCCCGGGACACTCGGTGGAGGCGCGGGGGTCCCGGCCCGCTTCCCCCCGGGGAAGGGGGAGAGGGAGAGCAGGGCCGGCCACCGAACCGCCCTCCTACACCTTCCCCAGCGCCAGCCCCACGTCCCCCGGCCCCAGCCGGGACAGACCCTCTGATCGTCCCCGCGTCCCCAAAAGCGGGGCACAGCACCGGCCCGGGCCCCGGTAACCCAAAAGGAGAGGGTACCGGCATTTCCTTACATGCCTTTGATTAAAACTCCCCCACCCCGGGCAGGAGGGGAGCTACCACGCAGCATTAGTTGTCATGGTGACCATAAATCACGTAAATCCAAAAATACCCACCTATAATCTGAGATGAAGCTTTTATTTCCCGAGTGAAATAATATTTTAAAAGCTGTCAGCCAACCGAAAAACAACCTAATTGTAGTCACCCAAGTAATATATTAGCGGTAAAGGTTTCAATTAAAATGTCAAAAGTGTTTTTTATTTTTTTCTCCTTTTTCTTTTTTTTTTTTTTTTTTTTCCTGCTGGAATCTCCCATCCCCGTTCGGGTTTGGGTCCCGGCCGCGAAGCCGCCCCGGCCAAGTAACCCGCGTACTGACTATCCGCGCCTTCTGCGTGGGGCTACCACCCCAAACCCAACATTTTGGGGGAATTTCCCCCTTCCTCTTTTGCCCGGTACTGCCGGGGACGCGTTCCCATGGGCTGCGGAAAATGGGAATTTGGGGTTGCTCGTCACCCCGCTTCACCTTCTGCATTTCCTTTTTAATTTTTTATTTTAATTTTTTTTTTCTCCCTCTTCCGAGCGTGTTTTTCCACCTCCCGTTCCCGCCGGCAGAACTGGCGGCCCGGGATCCCCGGTGCCGGCCCCGGTGCGTGGGGCGGGCGGGCCGGGAGCGGGACTGGGAGCTGGGCTGGGAATACCGGGGAGGGTGGGGTGGCCGGACCTACTGCGGGTATTTATTTTCCCACTTTTCCTTTATCTCCTTATGGGATCGTTGTTTCTATGCGTAATACTCTTCTAAATGGATAAATTGGTTCTTATGTAGAGTCTCCAGCTAGTCCTGTTGTCTTTTACCTTTGGCTTGTTGTCTTTCGCCTATCTCGGATTACCGGGTATTCTCCTCGATGAAGAGCCATTAATTACCCATTCAGTCAATATTAGGAAGACTACAGAGCTTTTTACATAGGATTAAGAAGACATCAGATTGTTCCGTTAGTATATTCCTACTCACGAATAAGCTTTCGTTATACATTTAGTTTTCCCTGGAGTGAGGCTAACAACTGCTGCATATATTATTCTCAGACGACGAAGACGACACGGGGCGGGGGGGGGAATTATATATCCCAAGACCAATAAATATCTTTTAATTTGCGCTTGGCGGGGGCTACGGGAAGAGGGGCGCAGTTTCCGCGGCGCCGCGCAGGGGCAGCGCATCGGCGGAGCGCCTCCGCCCCGGCCAGGGGAGACCCCGGCTCCACCACTCGGGTTCACAGCTCCGGGGACAAATTTGGCCACGTTCTGTGGCGGGGAGGGTGCCGCTCAGTCCTCCCCGGCGGCTCCGGCCTCCCCCTCTCCGGCTCCGCCTCGGCCCCCCCGCACCCGCTCCCTCCCGCGGGGGCGGAGGCTGCGCGCCCACATCGTCCCAGGGCTGAAAAAAGGCAGCGGGGACCTTTGCTTTGCGCGCTGCCGTGTCTTCAGCTCATCTGGACGGAAAGCTGAATCAGCGTTGGTTTGTTGGGTTTTTTTTTGGTGTTTTTTTTTGTTTTGAAAAAGAGATGTTAGGTTACGGAATATTCAGACCAAAGAATATTTTTTTTTTTTTTAAGAGTTGAAACAATCAATTTGTGATGCTGAATGATGATATAAGGCGAATGTATTTTCAACGGGTTTATGTTGGAGGCTGTTGTTTCAGCAATACCCAGATTATCGATTACAGGAAAGAATTCCTTAAGCAGAATTCACACGGCCAACAAATTGGACAGATTAGGCATATACACACACTCACACACAAATAGTTGAAGCAAATAGTCTTCCCGCCCCGAGTAAAAAATATTCGAATAAACCCCATCAGCAACCATTTACGCGTGCTGTGGGGCTGTCGAGGCGTGTGCTGAAGTTTTCCTAATTTCGTGGGACTGGTCACCCAGCAGCGATTTTCCCGTCTCTCTGGGTAAACATGACACCCGCCGGGCTGCGTTTGGCACTCTAGGCTGCAATAATATTTTCGTACTTTCCTATCCCCGGCGTGGCCACGGACCCCTTTCTTCTGGATCAACCCTTCCCCGCGGGAACCCAGAGCGCCCGTGTCGCTTTGAAGCGGCTCCTACGGAATTTCGTTTCCTCCTTTCACAGGAGCATCGATTTGACCAAATATTCGCTTTTTTTTTTTTTTTTTTTTTACTATTATTACCAACGGTGCTAGTTAGCAATTATTCTCCTTGTGCCCACCGACGGTGCCTAATTCGCGAAAATCCCTGACCGCCCTCGTAATTTCCGAAACTGAACTCTGAAGGGGGGGAGGTTGTCCCCCGCAAATAACCCCTTCTCCGCTTCCCCACCTCCCACCCAGTCCGCCCCACGGAAAAGACTTTTTGCGAGGTAAACCCCATAAAGCACGAAGTCCTGGCGGTCAGGCAAGACAAAAACCGACGAGCACCGCGCGAATCAAAGCCAAACCCCATCAAAACCCGCCCGAACCAGGAGGAAACACCCGTGATTTCTACGATTATGCGGCGAGTCGCCCGAGCAGCTCGGGGCGTCTCAGGACTTGCCATTATCCGTCGCACAGAGACAGGGGCTGGGGCTGCACACAGGGATCGTGCCCACATCTGCAGGGATCTATGCGCACATCTGCAGGGATCTATCCGCATCCGCGGTCGTTCCGCGCTTCCCTTTCCCGTAAATGGGATGGTTTTAACGGTCAGGCAACCCCGCGTCGCTTCTTCGGCTCAGACTTATGTTTTAATTAATGGCATTAAAGGTGTTTAGATAGCGATTTCCCCTGCAGCCCGACGGGTAAAAAACAGACCGGCTGATACGGTAACGAGGCAGGAAATTTTGCGTGTACTACAATAATCCGGGTTCATAATTGATGGTTAAGAAAATAACCATTTGTTTCTCGGCAGAGGAAGTAAAAGTTACCGTGTCAGGGAGCATATGTGGATATTACTTTTATAAATACTTAGTCGAATAAAGCTGGCGTGGAAGGGCTCATAAATTTATTATATCAGAAAGGTCCCCACTTTCCCATTAGATCGTGCTAAGGGCTTTGATTAAGACCACCTGTTCGTCGGGAGGAAAAGGCAGGGGAGGGTAAAAAGGCCTTTCTTATTTGCAAACCATATATAAAGCAATGTCACCCTTCCTTTCCACATTATTTAACACTTATTACTGGCCGAGGGAAAAAGTGCCAGACCCTGGTAAAGCCTATTTGTGCACAATTTAATATCATGTATGTTTCCGGGATTAAAAATTATCGGCTCGTAATACCTCCGCGTTTGGAATTACCCCGGATTTTGCTCGCTAACCTTCCTCTAGCCTAAGCGTTTCTTCTCCTCGGGGTTTTGATGTGCAGCTAGCAAATGCCGCTTAAAGTCTCCGGGGGAGGGTGGACTCGGGAAGGGGACGTGGCTCCTCCTGAAATCACTGGATGTTATTTGAGAAATAGCGAGCTGTTTGGCCAAACAGGGTTAATACAGTATTCTTACAAGGAAGTGTTTAACCACGAGACCAGGAATACGTGCATTATTAATTCAGTCTAGTTTCCTGTATTATTAATTCAGGTTAATATATTTTATTTAAACAAAATTACGTTTATCTTGGATTAAACAGTCTCTCGAAATACAGAGCGCTTGTTTTCTTCTTTGTAATATGTTTGCATTGCTGTTTTTCTTTACCACCCCTCGGGCTCGCCTACCAGACCCCCTGAAACGGGCAGGGGAAGAGAAGGCAGGAGCTCGCTCTGCCTGCAGACGGGGCGCTGCGGGGGTGCTTGCCTCTGGGGGCAGGAGAGGGCTGGC